GCCATGGCTTTCTCGCAAAACGCAGCTCTGCTAAATCGAAGAATTCAGAAAAACTGAGAGTGACTAACGGGACATGCCAAGTATGGGAAACATGTTGTGGTTGACCACGTCATACATTTTTTTTTTTGGCTTGGCCAAAAAGGAATGGCTGAGTGGTCGAGCGGAGCTCATGCTGGCATGTGCAAACAACGAAAGTTAAAGGCATAATTGCTGTGAATGAGTGGCCGTTCTTTTGAATCCGCTCAGGCTGACTCTAGGACTCGCGTGCATCTTTTGCACTTCCGGCACTCTAGAAAAGAGGTGGACTCAACTACCGCATGGTCTTTTGTTGCATGGACACCGCACACGAACGTGCTGTTCTCCTCGTTGAGCTTGAGGTGCACGATTTTGCTGAGTTCATGCTGATACATAATTCCCAGGCCCCAGGAACTTTGCTGGACATCGGGGTCAGTGCCCCCAACGGTGAGCAAATGTCCAGCCGTCTCACTGTCTGAGTCGGTTTCCGATGAACTGGACGAGGAGGAGCTCTTTCCCGATGAGGACGAACTGGCTGAGTTGTTGTGGTCCGGCTGGTCCTCGGCACAGTCAGGCCTTGTGGGCTCCTGGATGTGGCCCGATCTGGTCATGTCCGGATGGAGAGCCCCGACCCTAATACGCCTTAGGACATCCTCCATGGCCCGTAGGGGCGCTGCCAACATGTCGCGGGAGTATGTCTCGAGCGAGCCCTTCTGAGTGCTATGGTGCCCCAACACCAATCGGTGGTGGGGCTCAGTGCCTGCTTTGGCAAGCCAGGAGAGCACCGTGCACTTTAGGCTGTGAGAAGTCACAGCCTCCAAGTTGAAGCCCCCTTGCTTCAACAGTTCTCCAAGCCACTTTGTGGCTTCGGACGCTGAGACGCTGCGTCTGTTCCAGCCTCCTGTCTTGTCGGGTGCTGGGAGTATTGGTCCCTTGAAACCCTCGTTGAAGCATAGGTTGACTTCCTTTGACAGATTGTGCCATACCAGGGCCCAGCATGGATTTGTAAGACCCCAAATGGGGGTCACCAATGGCAGTGGCAAGCCATGTCTCGCTACCTGAGCTGCCGTCTTGTGTGAAAAGGTTGCAAACTCAATGTAGCCAATGGTTCTGCTGTCAATGATGCTCACGTCCAAGACAAAGTGGCTCACATCTTTGAGGTCTGACCAGCGGCACCTACCAAATAAAGCAAACAGAAATGCTCCAGCTGCGTATCTGTCAAAAGGGTCAATTGCTGGGTCTTTCACCACGTTTTCCAGGAATGTCACCTCTGGCACGGTAAGGGGTCGAGCTTGTTTCCTCTTGGGCCTGGAAAGGGCCATCTTGTCTAAGACTCCTTTCACGAAGGCTGAGACTAGTGGGATCTCAGGGTTCGCCACTGGGAGCCCCAACACGTGTGTGCCAAAATGCACTGCTTCTACAAATGAGGTCAGCCCAGCGTACGTCATCCCATCTTGATGCTTCTCCCATACGTAGTCTGCAACTTCGTCTTGGGTGAACGGTATGGGGTGCCTCTTGTAGTAAAATCCCCTGTGCCACAGGCAGAACTGCAAGAGGCTGTGCGCCCTCTTGGCAATTGTGTTTGGGCTCCTTGCTCCACAGAGGAGCCTGATCTGGCGCAGGTTTTTCTCGACGTCACCGGCGATGAAGGAAATGCTCTTTGGGCAGCTGTTTGGTCCAGACACCATCACAGTGTACAGTTTTTCCAAAGCTCTTCCCCATTTCGCCTGGTCCATTTCGGGGTCGGTCAAGGTATTCTTGAACGAAATGGCTCGTTCATACAGCCTGTTGGTACACACATCCGTTCTCTGTCGCTTGGCGTGGCTCTCCAAGCTGCCTGGTCTGTTCGAAGGCTCAACTTCAGAGTGATCCAGGGTGTGGGCAATCGCCGGCAGTGTAGCCTCCTGTACCATGGGGGAATCTCCGAAAATCGTCGCCATGATGCCTGTCTCCCATGGCAAGGAGAGCCCATCAGCCAAGTTGGCCCCCAGCATGGCTTGGTGAATGATCGAGTCCAACCTGGCCCTGTCTGCATCAGTTAGCTCACCTTCCTCTTCGGCAGGTTCTTCACGAACCACTGAGCGCTCTCCTTGTGGGCTGTATCCGTCCAGTCCAAAGAAGTCTTCCTCACCACCTATTACGTCTGGTCCACCTGTCTCAGTGTCACGCGGTGGAATCCCCGAGTGTGAGTGATCAGAGTTTTCTACATCATCGCCGTCTGGTTGTTCCGGTGACCCCTGGTAAGGGCCCTCCATAGCCCCATCATGGCAATCGATGTCTTTGGGAAGGGGCAAAGGCGTTCCCTTCTCTGGCAAGGAATCTTCTGAGTCCATATTTGAGCCTATGAAACAGAAATAAGACTTTGGGCGGTCATGTTGTGAAAAAATTGAGGTAATGCTTTTGGAATCGTTCCGCATCTGTCTTTTTCAGGTGTCCACTGCTTGATGCCGGCTCAGTCCTCGAGGTCTCATCTTACAAGATGGTCAACAAAAGCGCATGCACAAATCATCAACGCAGAAAGGCTAACCAATGAATTCAACGATTGAGTCCAACAAGATCTTGACCTCTAAAAGGAATTTAAAAAGTTGCTCCTCGTCGGGCTTCGTGCAGCTTATTATCATATGGTCCAGGAGGTTTGCAAAAGCATCCAAATGGTCTTTGAAGACTGGTGAATGGTCGGTTCTGAGAACCCCTAGACTCGCCTGCATGAACAACGGGGAGCGCTTTCTCTGAACTTGGCTGCGAAACGTGTGTGGGTGATCTTCCCTATTGCTGCGGTACCATAATTTTGTGACTTCCAACTCATGGTAAAAATCTACAAAGAGATCAATGAAAGAAGGCGTTCCCATGAGCCGGAAAATTTCATGTAAGCAGGCTTCAGTCTTTGTAACCAATCTCAGCCATTCTTCTCCTTCTACGAGGAGAGTCGCTACCATCACAGCCATCGTTCCAATGTTTTGCCCAATCGGCAAACTACGGCGTTCTCGGACCTTATCAAGCCTGGCACTTGAAGCGCCAGCCTGATCACTGGGCTGCATGCTGCTCCTGTGGATGAACAAGTTTCGGTGTGGAGGTCCAAGAAATGGTCTCTGTTGGCTATGACTTGCAAATCTCCGTAGTTTTGGCTGGGAAACGGTACTCTGCATTAGGCCGAGCCTTCTCCGATGTTGGTTCGACAAATCCTATAGTGACATCCAACTCACGACGGACTGAAAAGGCCAATCTGATCGGCTGACTTTGATTAATATATGTGGAAGAAACTTTCTTGGGGGTATCTGAGTCTACGACCTTCCGTCGGCTGCTCAGGGCGACGTGCCCAGCTCAAAGTCCGCTCTGTCACCTCGACATGGTGGACTGGGCACTCGCCCTTATTGGCACACTCGTGTCAAATCAGTGGTGGCTCCTACGGCACGTGCCGGACTAGTTCGACCCTCCCTTTCGCTCCAGGTATTGAGGACGCGACGGGAATTGCCACCTCTTCACCTAGGAAGGGTGGTCCCTAACAAAAAGGGGGGAGGAATGGAAACACTGGACGGGTTGCTACTCAGGCCGGGACACTCGTCACCAGCAAGGCCTAAAAAGGGGGGTCAGCAACTTCACTGTCTTCAGTTGTCACTGTACGACATCTCAGGCTTACACGTGAAGGGGAAATACGTAGGATGTCACCTGACGATCCCACTGTAACCCCTTTCACAAAACACTCTGGATGAAGTTCACTTGAACCTTCTATGATGCAATCGGGCCTTGAGTTTCCGGTCCCTCTTCGGGTTTGAGCCACTCACCAAAGCCACAGGACGGTCTAAAGTTGGAACGTTCAACTTGGCATCACAAGGTTCCAAAGAGTATATTATTAAGGTTTGAGTCATTGCACAAGATCAAAAGACATGCGCACACCCCCCACTAAGATGGCTTTTGACATATGGAATTTAGTCCGCATGTTCGGATGCGGCAGCTGGCTCAGACTGACGTGGGGAGTCAGGGTACCAAACGGAAAGTTCGATGGGCTGTCGAGGCGTGAGGACAAGGGGTTCACCTGTGGAAACGGCTCTTTCAAGTCGTTTGATGCGATCCTCTAAACGGCCGATAACGACAGACTGCGAACTGATGAGATTTTCATATTGTTGTAAAGCAGGAAAAACTGATACAAAATGAAGGTACACCTGAACAGGTCTGGTTCCTTGAGCATGGTGTTCCTGTGGCGTGGCCACCGGCGCATGCTGGAGCTGATGAAAGATGCCCAAGCTTCGCTGATATTCTGTATAAGACGAGATTTGTACAAAAACTCGTCGGGGCCAGTCCAATCCTTCGACAGTGGTTTTGAGGTCCACTGGGGTTGAATTGCAGAGGATACGTACAAGGCCTGGTGTATCAACGTCAAGGCGAAAAACTTGAGCCACCATTTGTTTCAGGGGCAAGTTGACCAAGAAGTGCAGCACAACGCCGCCCCAGGGTGTCGGTGGGCCACCATAGAGATCTTCGTCACTGCTGGACTCGGTGGGCTGCAGAGGCGGGTCAAGGACCCGACGGTCTTCCATTGTGATGAAAAATTCCAGTGAAAGAATAAGCGCTACGATCCCAGCGAAAAAGGAGCCCACGATCCAAAAAGACAACGAAAAACCAGAAGGACGTAGATCACGATAAACTATGGCTCCACGCTGTCGCATAACGAAAATTCGTTGGATGAAATTAGGGCTCACTTGAGCCACTTGTTATTGGCACAAAACTCGTGATGTGTTTCAAGCTGTGCATCTCCATGTCCACTTTCCTTTCTAATGAAAGGAAATTCAACATCCCTTTGTCAAAAATAAAATTTCATCAACAGGTTGAGTTACATCGTCATTTATTCATATGATTCATATGTTGTAATTTACAGTATCTGTTCAAGACATTTCAAGACCCCAAGAACAAGAAGTCCAACTAGTAACTAGTCAGATTTTATCACGAAGACAAACATCAGACAGAAGCAACGAACATCCTCTCTGTGCCTTCACCGTGTGGGAGATCAGCTTTCTTGAAGAAAGACCTCCAAAGCCCAGATCACTGTTGAGTTCACGTCGAGTTGGATGCGCTTCCCACGCTACACCTCAGAAGACCTTTCTCTGAACCTGCATCTTGGTGGATCCGTTTTGTTGAGTTTGTCTGCTCTCCCCGTCAAAGAGGAAGAATGAAGATGCTTACCATTCGCAACTACTGGGAAAAAGTAGGAAAAAGTCAATTTAGAAGCAACGACTTGTAAATCCATAGAATGAGTAATTGTTTGAGACTGTCGTTTAGCATGTTTCACACCAGGCATCACTACCTCCAAAATTAGCGACAGGTGCAGAATGGAGCAAATGCTGCACTGGCAAAGTCATGACACTGCGAAGCAAGAAATGCTAATCTACAACCTGGAAAAGGAAACAAAATCGTCTATTCTGCCTTTCCTGAAAAAAAAATACATAAAATCCACTTGCTTCCAGTCCTTGCCAACCACAAAAGCACCCCATCCCCAACACCTGTTGCACGGTTCTTGCTTGCATCTTTCTTGACATTCCTGCAGCAGCATTGGGATGAAGCTATGGCGGACATCACGCAAAATCTTTGGTATTCACTTATTCAATGCAGATCAACAGGAATTGATCCATAGAATCCATAGATCTCCTTGCCACTGAACCATCACTGTCCACTGTCGCGGAATGTTGGCCTGTCAAAATGCTTCGTAAGAGCAGAAAATCAGCTGGGATAATGGATAACAAGGAAAGAAATCAATGGGTTTCTGTTGGATCTTAGAGTGACTAGATTTGGGGTGATTTGGGTATAAATCCAAGAATCAAAACTGATGGTGATCACATGTCATCACAGATGGTGATAGTTTCCATTATCACGCAATGGACTTGCAGGTGCGGATGCAGCTCAGTTTTGGAAGTGATTCCTACCAAAGCCCGTGGTGTCGCTAGCGAACTTCCAATTCTTGCTGAGATGGGGATCCAAATCGAAAGGATATGACAAGTATTGACAAGTGATCAATTACCCTCCACAGTCGTCCCCACTTTGACTTTTCTGAATGGGTCAGGTTCAGAAAATATCAAAAAGCTCCATCGTTGTAAACTCTTTTTGTTGCATGATTTTGCCAGTGAAAAACACCTTTAATTTTGAGGGATCACTAACCATGCCACAGGGATGGCCATCCACACTCAGTCAGGCCGAAAAAGGCTGTGGCCACGCCAGAATCGTATGCCAGAATCGTATGGGGGCTCGGTTTCGGGTTGGTTCATTGAGGGGGAACCTAAAACACAGGAGATTCACCAACAAATATGGGGAATTAAAAGCGATAGTGGATGGTGATGCTGCAAAAAAATAAGAAAAAGAAAAAATGATAAAAATGTGGATTGGTTGGTTTGGTCGGTTTTGTTTTCGATTAAGCTATTTTTCGATATTTTTCGTGTGGTTTTTCCTTTCCCTCACCTCATCAATTTGGGCAGCTTCAGGTGCATACTAGTCTATAAATGTCTATAGTCTATGGCTAATAGGCGCTTTCTGATTTTCTCGGCATCAAGCTCAGTACGTTGTCTGACCTGTGCCAAAACCCTGTGGACCCACAGAAGTGCAAATATTTTAGCTGTGGTCCGTGGAGTCCGTGGTCCCTATGGTTGCTGGATTGGGTCTCTTGTGTTCTTAAAGATTCTGAAAGTCTCACGGAAGCCTTCTTCAGCGGAGGAGAAATCATCTGTTGTGGTACTGGATGGTACTGGTACCAAGTGGTACCGATTGCTACCTGTTAATGCCAGCCTTGATGTTTCTTCCGGCCTTTGTCGACATGCCTAGGCGTTGGAATGGCAGGGTATCAAACATGTTTCTCTCCAGAGACAAATGGCAATGCACTCTGAATGACCAAGGCTTAGTGCCAATCCTCGCAATTTTGGACAACATCTGACTGCCATCTCGAGCTGCACGATTCGATTCAAATTGAGCTTAGGCACAGGTCTTCATCAGGGCCAGTGGTATCTTCTTCTGCTATCTGCTCAGTCTGCTCGTGCAAGTTTGCGGCTCGCTCTTTCAAACCTCCGCATCTGGTTTGCTTCTCTTCTCTAGCCAAGCACTGCTGTCAGGCAACATATTTTTGCCTTTGGGAATGACAAGCTCAGGATTGCCAGTGCGGAGTCAACAAACAACCTGGACCTCTGCCACTCAACATGACGCAATCCTCGTCAGTCACTGGAAATAGATGGACTCGCGTCATACACAACTACATTTTCTTCACATTCATTTTAGATACTTTTGGTGGTCCTTCCACAATCATGGATACTTTTGGTGAGGTCACTTGTCAGTCATGTCAAGTCCAGCAACAAGCCACCGATCAAACTAAGTCTGCTCAACAAATGCTCCGTCATCCCGCAGCTCGACTCACAGATGAAAATACCGAGGTACCTCTACAGCCCTATGGCAAAAAAAATGCTAAAAAGTGAGACCTGGTGAAACAACTGTTTACATATGTTTACATAAAGTGTACATATTCCAGGATTCCAGAAACTGCCATGACATCCCATGACATCTTGCAGTGTTTTCTTGTGTCCATGAAATGTCTGTGCTGCCGCCTTCGGATCGCAGAAGCCGACTCAAGTGCCTGCGACACGTCCGACAGGTCCGACAGGTGCGGAATCCTCTCGGATTGCCTCTTTCAAAAACGTGGCATAACCTGGCTATAGCGCCAACCATAGCCAACCTTTCAAAAATAGACCACAAAGAGTGCTGTTAACACAACCGCAGTGCTAATTTCATCTAATTTCGGCCTTAAACTTCAGCATTGGGGAAACTTCCTTTGTCTGGCGCGCTGATTGAGGTCTCCACAGTTTGCAGTGTTTTCTGGCCATTACCCGCCCATTCAAAGCAGTTCCCTCCAGAACGCTACTTCTTTTCCGTCCTGGAACCAGGTTGCACATGACCTGAGCTAGCTGCCACAACTGTTCCTGGTTAGCCATCAGTAGTGGCTTCGGGCAAATGTGTGCGTATCAATCTTATTCTGGCCACGCTCCCGGAAACTTAGAATCGGACTCCCTAATCTTCTGCCCATAGGTCTCTCCTCTGTAGAATCAGGGTTGAAAGATGTTGAAAGATGTTGAAAGAAAGAAAATGGACGAAACCTGTTGCAAAGGCACTCTTTGTAAAGACGAACAATTTTTGTCGTTGCAAGCTCTACCACGTCTACAATTTCTGTTGTTGGATCCTCCTGAGATGCCAAGAGCTGGGGTATTGCCTTAGTGAGAATCGTGCGTCTGAAGTCGGGTTCCTGCTTGAGTGCTGCAGGAGGTATGTAAGTTGAAAGGTTTTGCAACCAAATAGGCTTGCAACATGAACTTGGAATTGAAAGAATCTGTTTGTTCTGTTGTTTTCAAACATAATTGGTATATCTTGGTAGCACATGCATAACAACGCAATGACAACTGGGCAAGCAGCGAGAAGGAATGCTAGATGTCTCATGGACTTGGACCTTTGGCGCCAGGGAACAGGGAGGTGCCAACACTCGAAATGCGATACGAGGACACTGAGAAGACCAGCTTCTCAAGTTCCCACTGGGTAGAGAACCTGAACATGCCTAATGTGATGTTTTTATGTGAAGGGCAATTTCAGTGTCGAAGCAACACATGTTGGACAAAAAAAACCTAACTTGGCACAGAAAAAATATGAGTTTGGAATTATTCTACGACATGCTCCCTGAGAAAACTGAGCGACAGATTCAGAAACATGAACATAGTATAACATAGTCACAAAAAAAGTGTGCACTGTGCAGTTTTACGGCGAAGCGAACGTCTAAAGGCCCGGCCAAAGCATCAGCTTTTGCACTCAAGGAAGCTCTGCATCGGCCGAAAACCTCATAGTGTTTGGCATCTGCTTCAATAATTTAGGCACTGCGCAGGATGTATCGCCCAAGGGACACCGAAGTCAGAGTTGTCACTGAAAGTTCACAATTTCCTGACCATCGATTCAGCCAGATCTTTTCAAAGCCAAGTCACTTATGAAAGGCAATGTTGAGCAGCTCACAAAATTTCTGACCGCGGGCTGAGGGAGAGCCCAGACTAGGCACATCCCTTGGGCCACAGTGGCTATGTGACATACACCTCTGATAACAAAGATCGTGGACCTACATGCCACAGCCGTACTAATTGTAGGATTTTGTTGTTTAATTTGCCTTCAGGAACCTCGTACAAATGCAATTCACTTCTGAATCAGGTCAGAGATTTACTTCCAGAATAGATTGCAACGTATTTCAAGAGCAACCCAGTACCACAATATTAAGGTCGCAGAATCACAGGGCAAAGCAGAGAAAGGCGAATTGATGGGGGCTGGACCAAACGCTGCGGCATCCCATCTTCCTGGCAGCTCATGACAGCATGTTGCAACAGCTGTTCACCCGAAGACAAGGCTTCCTGGAAAAAAATGAAAGAAACAGGTAAAAAACAAAATGTTTTAAAAAAATCAAGGAAAATAAAAGGAACTTTGCTATATGTTAGCAGAAGAACATTCTGTGAATAGAAGGCCTCGGCAGGTACGCTTGAGTAGCCGTCCCGAATTGACTTCTGGATCCCGTTACCTCATCACAGCGGCGCACAATTGCCCTTGAACAGTGAAATGCAAATGACTTTTGAAACATTTTGAAACTGTCTATTTTTCTTATTTTCTCTTGGAAATAATGTCAAAATATGTCAAATCAAGTGGATATCAAATGATTTTTTTTAGTTCCGTGTGGAGCTGAGTGAGACACTGGGAGGAGGATGCGACTCCTGCAACAGCCCAAATATGCCCAAATACATATCTCACTTATTCTCACTTCATTTCCTTTGCTCTCCGATCCCACAAGTCAGCCTGAATCTGACTAAACTATCTTAAGACAGTTTGAGGCGCTGCCTTCAGCTCTTTTCAAATGATTGGAAACTCATCTGATTGGCTAGACTCTCCGTGTCATCGCTCCTATCACGGACTCCAATTTTTTTCAAGCCTAAGAAGAGCAACCTTTACTCTCCAAAAATTGCATATTCTGATGCTCCTCCAACTCCTGTCGAAGATCTGCTAGCTTTGACCTCTTGTCGCATGCGAAAGCAATCAAGCTCAAGGTTCAGTATGGTTCAATAGTCATACAATACATCAATACGTCCCAAAGGCATACCAAAGGCATCACAGGCATCATTCGACTCGTTCGACTCTACACGGACAGCACGGACGTCCAGCACGTCACAAGTCCAGTACCCGTCGGACATGGACGAAAGTCACGTCGAATACGTCGATCACGTCAGGAAAGTGCGAAACGACACCACTCTTGGCTTCTCACGCCAGCTCGTGCAGGCTGGTTCTCCAGCTACCACACAGCTCCTGAAGGCAAGAAAGTAGTACATAGCTATACACATTATATAGCTATTACCTTCGTTTCGATCAACATTCAATCAGTTCAATCAGTTCAACTTGAGGCCCAGAGGGGTGCACAAAAGCTAAGGTTTATATGACTTGGAAACATGATGGGGCTTTGATATGGTTAGGACTTAGATTGTTGAGAGCTCAGCACGCCCCTGGCAGGATTTGAGCCTGTGACCATCTGCTTCCAAGACCGCTGAGGGGTGACGGGGGGTTCACGTGAAAAATCACTGTGTTGGACTCAGAGCTGCCCCTCCCAAGAGTAAACTCCAGCTACCGCTAGCTTTCGTGATCAGTTCAATCAGTTCAATCAGTTCAATCACACAGGAATCGCACTGCGCACATTCCTGAATGAACAGTATTGAACAGTACTGCAAGATCTAACAGAGATCTAACACTGCACGTTTGTGAAAGGAGCAACAGAAAAGGCAAAATCTAGCGTCCTGGTCCAGGGCCACCAGAGATCTTCGGGCCATTTCTGCCCAATCCCGGGTCAGGAACGCAATACCAGCTGCAGCATCTGCCTGGTCAACCAGTTGAGAAGCCAACTGGCCGCTGAGTATCGCCCAGCGTCGCGCACCACCCAGCAAATGGTTCCACCATATGCTACCAGCAATCAAGCCTAGGCTGGGTTTCAAGAAAAGTTTTTGAAAAAAAAACATGTCGGAACATGTCATGTCAACCAAACTCTCAAGTGTTCAAGGGCAAGACAGCAAACCCTTTGTCCTCAGACTTGTTCAGCCAAGAAACAGTACAGAAGAAGACTGCCGAGGCTGAGGAAGGCAGGTGCTGGCAACGAAGGTGCTCCCAGCAAATGCAGCATTGGTAGCATCAGTCCAAAGACTGTGAGGCTCATTGTGCACCATGACGCCCAGCGCACTGCATCAATTGGAGTCAGCAAAGGAAGGAGCAAAAGACCTGAAACAGTTTGGAGCAGCTTGAAAATGCACATGCCGAGATACAGCTCCGTGCAAGTCTTGAAATGAATGGAATGCCCAATTTTATGAATACATGGAGCAGCTTCAGCAGCCAACCCAGCCACCCAGCCACCCAGCCACCCAGCCAGCCTTCTGCCCTCCTTCCCCAGGCCTCCAACGGCAGTGTATCCAGCTGATGGTCTCCACAGCTCTTCATTCCCTGGCCATTGGACTCCAGATACTCCTGGGGTTATCGAGGGAGCACGCAACTTGAACCCTTGCTTCCTCACTGTCACACCTTCATTTCAATATATTGTTGAGACAGTGTGATATCCATCCAGTGTCTGATACGAACTGGTTAACTAGCCAACTATACGTATGACGTATGGTTACTGTCGGGTTGTCAAAGAGGCACATTTCATGTTAGTTTCTTGCATCTTCATTGAAAAGAAAGAGAAAGCTGGAGGACATGTAACACATGTGATAACATGCATAAATTGTCCATGTCCAACTTGCAAAATCTGGTCGAATCTGGTCGAGTTTCCATGTCTTCTGATGTCTGCCAAGGCTAGCAGCCGCTTCCCAGAGTCCGTTTTGGCCCAGCGCAGCAGTTCCGCCACCCGCACTGCGGGTGGTGGCTCACGTGGGTTGTGGAGCAGTGCTTCTTGCCGGAAGTTCCATGCATTGTCATGAGCAGATTCGACGAAGGATGCTAAGGTCTCATCCAAGTCCTTGGAATGCAGACTTTGGCTGGGTATCTGGCAGCGAATCAGAGAAATGGGTTGTGCCTTGGTATTACTCATTGCCCACTACAAGTCTGCTCTAACCGTCTAACCTTGTCAAACGCTACAGTAGACTCCTGCAACCCCTCAAGCGTCACAAGCATCACCATTGGCCCAGTCTGCACACAGAAGGTCCAAGATTCTGCCTTTGCCAAGCGTGGGATGAGCCGACGAGCTCGCAGAAGTGCACTCGCAGCCGCCTTCGCATCACCAGCGGCCAGGGCAGCAGCACGGTCCTGTCACAGGTCCGCCAAGATCAATGACGTTCCATAGTTGATGATGTTCATATTATATTCATGTTATGTTCATGTTATGTTCATGTTATGTTCATGTCATGTTCATCATGTTCATCATGCTCACCATGTTTAACAATGAACCCAGGAAAAACTTAACTAACCATTCCTCTCTGAACATCTGACAGACCTTTATACACTGTTGTCATATAGCAAGTCTCGGTTTGCGTGCGACCCTTTCAAATTTGCAACCCTCCCGCTTTCTTGCTGCCAAAGGGCAAGGGTCAACACGAATGATCTTCCTCGGCTTCCGCTGAGAATTCTCATCGTGTTCACCAGCAGAAAGCTGTCAGCCAAGTCATGCATAGGCCTCTCTTTTTCTTCTCTCCATCGCAGCTTCAATGGTGCCTGATGCTCTAGTGCCTTTTCGAAGGTTTGGTGATTCTCCTGCACACAAAAAGAGAGAGTTTACAGTGGCATGCAAAAGTCCTGAAAAAAGGTCTGACGAGTGTGATAAAGTCATGAACTGAACATATTTCTGAGAAAAATATAGTCTATATGTCTATATATATCAATCTATGTCTATATAGATATAGGAAAACATGTTGAAAAAGTTTGGGCCGAAACAAAGCGTGACATCAGCGTGACCTGCAGCCCAGCAAAAAGAGGGAGCTGAAGCAGGCCAGGTACCAGCCGCCGCAGGATCGTCCCAAAGGCAGCCAGCTCGGCTGTGGTCCCAGTGTACGAGTAGGGCCTGAAGGGTTCAAGATTCCAAATTCAAAAGGGCCATGGTTGGAAAATGTTGGAAAAACATGAAAAGAAACTCCATCTGCCAACCACAGCACCAAAGATGTTTTGTGACAACAAAATAGAAAGTAAACTCCTGAGCATATCAGGATTGAAACGATGGGGCAAGCCGTCTAGCCTAGCCTTTTCAAAGAAAAGCGTGAGTGGTCTGCCAGAATGTCACGAATCCACGGAGGAGCTCCAGCCAAGCCAGGTTTGGGTCGTGTTGCTTTCTGCAGAGCAATATACGCGCTGGTGGCCAAATACACATTCGCCAAGGGATTGATGAATCCACCAGGAATCACGGTCGGCAAGCGTTGCAGGACCATTCTACCAACTTCAAAGCCAATTAAGGCCTTTGCTTCTTTGGCTGGAAACTCCTTCAGCATGCTCGTCTGAATGACCTGAGTCAGCACAGAGACTGCATCCATTGACAAAGAAAATGCCCTTGGGTAGATATCATTCATAAACAAATATATAACACCTCGTTACTGGCATTGCGTTTTTTCATTCTCCAGAACACGGCAGGCTTTCTTAGCCACGCAATTATTCCATGATCTTTTGCCATCAAATCGTACCATGAAATCATCAAATGGTACCGAGAAATCAAAATGTACCGGGATGCCCTTCCAATTAGTTCAGTACATCTTAAAATTGGTTTCCTTTTTCTTGCTTGAAAAAAATATAAAAAATAATGAATTATAACAGAAGAAGTTGTGTTTTCAAAGAGGAAAAAACTGATTTTCAAGGCTAAGATGTTCATTGTTCGTGGCTAAACCTATTTACGTGGCTAAAAAAAAAACTGTTCAAGGTCAAAGATTTATCTTTTCGGGGCTAAAAATCGGTCCCCTCCAGAACACAGTTCACTATACCTGAGGACTTCCGGGGCGGGGGGGTCTGGCAATGCCACAGCCGTGGTGTCACAAGGGTGACATCATGGCCACCAACCAAAGGTGCACCAGCGCCGCTACCAGATGCATGAGGAGCACTTAAGGGATAAAATATGAATGATGATCAGAATTCTGATCATATCATAGTTACATCATCCTTCAAAAAGGACTTCTCTGTTCAATATTACCAGCAGTCATGAAGTAGACACAATCATGCATCAATTGATGAAGTACATGTTTCTAATATGCAGTTTATTTCTGCTCCATGACGGTGTCTCGATGTCTGTATCATGATTTTTGTTCATAGAACCACTATCATGTTGACCCTGGTATTATTCCTTGGCGCGGTCGCCTTTGCTTTTGTCCAGGTCGGTGGATATCTTATGAGTCATGGTGTTGCGATCTCAAGTTGTCGTCGCTATGTTTGCTGGAATTGACCACAGGCGCAAAGATCACACGTATGATTCATGGGAAAATGTAATGACATGCACAACAAAGAGAGTTTGCAGAAGAATGACAACATTGCAAAATCTACAGTTAAACATGGATTTTGACCTGTTGCAAAATGAAATTTGTTTCATTCCGTTACCGTAGTAGTTGTTTCAGCTGTATTGGCAAGCTGCGATGATTCCGCGTGCCGGTGCTTTGGTCGAATATGTCCACACAGGTACCGACCTTTTGCTACGTGGTGTGACCTGCCAGCTCATGGTGCTGGGAAGACCATCAACAAACTGACTTTGGGCATTGGCAGACTGCGAGAAACATGTTTTTCTCGAGTTTTTTCCAACTTTGACCACCTTGACAGTGTAAAGCCGTATAAAGCCTTGACATGGCCTTAACGGGGGCTTAGCCCAAACAACAAAACGAGCACACTGCGTCCCTGCGTCGCCTTGTTTGGTGGCCACTGCTCGTCCAGCCACAGTTCCGGACAGCGAAGAGCCTTGGTGACGTGTTTCGACGCGGGCCCTCTCCGTGAACGGCGCGTTTCGACGTCCAGCCCCAAGACCAGGCAGACTTCCTGGCAGAAATTTTACATAGCCTAGTCATCCTAGAGACAAAAATTGTGAGATGGTACTAGAAAAACATGAAAAATCCAATCTCAAATTCAACGACTGCTTTATGCTCTTTTCTCCCGCGTCATTTTACCATGCCAAGTACTTCAATGTGCTTTGGCTCAAGCTGCATGGCTCAAGCAGCATACTTTGGTGTCAGCAGAGGTGGGACAAGGCTTTGAGCCTGTGGGACTTGAGTGGCCTATTTTAGGGTAGCTAGTCACCTTGTTTGCGCAGTAGTGTCAGAGCCTGCTACTTTCGCATGGTAGCGGAGCTTAAAAAAACCCAGGGAACTTTAGTAGAACAATGGCCCTTGAATCTGGAGAGTTTGACTGTGAATGTTGTGTATGATGGAAGTTGGGACTTTCAGGTCAAATTCATATGATGAATCATGGTATGACAAGTCTTGGGACGACGGTTGGGATTGGTACTCGTATCAGGAACCACTTTACTTTGGAACTCTCAAAAACTGTCTGCAGGATCTGGCACCAAGGCACTTTTGGAGCAAGTTTCGGCTAGTTCCTCTGCTGCAGGAACTGTTCAGACTTTGCAGTCACCACTTCCTCCACAAGACTTCACAGCCTTCAAAAATTTTGACCTGGAGGAAGCCTTCGGCTAGAACTCTCCCATGCTTAACGTTGCACTTTTTGCAGCCGTGACGATGAGTGCGGTCTCACCAAGTTCTTCACGTTCGTTGTAATTCCATGGCATGAATGCACATGATGACATGTACTCCAGCGTCGTTGACTTTCGTATGCCTGTTTCACAGTTTCATATTAAGAATGAACTTGTGATGTAACCTGTTGTCACTTTCATGAAAAAACGGTTCATGAACTTTGTTTTCTGTAGACCAGGTTGGCATGGAGTTGAATACCACTTTCCATGACCGTTGGCTTGCTAATCACTTGGTAGTATCAACAACTCTGGATGCTGACCATTGGATTCTTTTTGACAGTGGTGCTTTGGCCAATTGCTGCCCAAAGAACTTTGGGGGAGAATGGCAACTTTTACCGTCAAACGGTGAACCTCCACCTTTGAGAAGCATCAGTGGACAACCTTTACATGTGTATGGCCGTCGTTTCATTCGTATGACTTTGGATGGTGTTCCTGTATGCTTTCACTTTTATGTGTGTGTCATGTTCCTTATCCGGTGATTTCTGTTGCAAAGTTACTTTTGCAGGGATACAAGGTGAACATGGGCTTCCCTGACACATGTACTTTGAGAACACCTGATGGACAAGAAGCCAGGGTTGTTCGTCATGGTTCACTTTTGTTCCTATGAACCATTCAACTAATATGACTTTGCACCTTTGCGCAATGAATTTCATGCTCAGTTCAACGCTAAGGTTCCCCCTGGTTTGCTGGTAACTTTTAACCCAGTGTGCTATCATGCTGATCGACGGGTTTTGAAGGACAATATTCAATATTTATTTTGATTCGGCTTCATCCTCGTGCCAGAAAGACACTTTTCGTTCCATATGGCACGCAGGATCGACCTGTCCCTGTTGAAGGCTTGGCCTCGCGTCGAGTCACAGAAATGGAACTTGCGGATAGAACCAAGCAGACTTTCACCGACAATTGGCGAAGGTGTGATGATCCATGCGCAAGGGTTGACGCTTTCAAAGGGCGAACCATTTCACTTTAAATTCGAAGCCGACAAGACGTGGTGAGTTGATGAAAACTTCCACTTTGCCACAACCACAGTCGCTCAGTGAGTCGAAGGAGGCAACAGAGACAGAGAGACGAAAACATGTCGACTCTTCTTCGCGACCTTCAAGGCCACTTTCGGTTGAAGACACGTTCGTTGCCAAGTTGGACAAGGCAAAAGACAAGGAACTTTGGAGGACTTTAAGGCTCTTGTCTTACAAGCAGTTTCTGACATGGACCCCACGATTTCTCAGCAGACGTTGACGTTTCCTGTTGCAAATGTCGGAAAGACTCAACTTTCATGGCGTGATGGAACCTGGCTTGGACGCAATACGGAGTCCGACATGCACTTTGTCGCTGATTCCTCCGGCGTTTTCAAGACCAGGAACATCCGGCGAAACATTCTGTCAAGACAGTCGAGCTTTGAACTTTTGCAAAGCATCACAGCCACACCTTGGGATCCCACTGGTTCCAAGAGTGAAACAGACAGACGCTTTCATACTTCCACTTTCCAAGGATGATCCTCAGCCATTGTCTGAGGGAGCATCCAAGGAAGACTTGGCTGCCGAAGAGCCTCTGGATGACTACATAGAGCCAGAGAGCCCACTTCCTGATGACTTGGTTGACTTGCTGGTTGAAGGGAGCGCCACTTTCTTCGCCGTCACGTGTTCACAGGCATGATGAAGTTTCTCCTGATGATAGGACTTTCATTCTCGCCCGGGTCTTGATCCTGCTGCAACCTTGGAATGCAAACATGAACATGAACCGGAAGAAGCTGGACCTGGTCCCAAGATGCAGCGACTTTCGTGTGTACTCCCTGTTGCAGCTGTGACTGGACTTGATTTTCCATCACACTCATGGTTGTTCCAAAAGCCTTGGACTTGCGACTATCGAGTTTCATCTGTTGACACCATGCATGGACTCGAAGTTCCTGCTTCGGTGAACCAAGATGAAAAAGAACTTTTGCTGACAAAGAGCTTGGAGAACCCTTTCCTTTGATATGAAACCGAGCTTCCAAAGGAACTTGAGGTCGCTGGCATGAAGAAAGAGATGGAATCCATGGTTAACTGTTGGAACTTTTGGGTCAACACAAACTTTCTCATGCAATTTCCTCTCGTTGGGTGAAGACTCGCAAGCTGGATGGCTCAGTGCGTTGCAGACTTGTTGTCCGTGGTTTTGATCAGGTGGTTGACGGTCCTGATCAGACTTTTGCGAGCACTCCAAGCCTCACAAGTTTGAAGCTTCTTTTGACACTTTCGGTTGCATTTGGGTGGGACGTTTCAACCGGAGACATTGGAACAGCTTTTCTGTATGCCTTGATCACAGGTGAAGACATTTATGTCATTCCACCTGCTGAATACTATCCAGATCAGAACGTGGTCTGGAAGTTGAAGCGTGCACCTTATGGCTTGAAGAACTCCCCGCGACTTTGGCAAGACAAGACCACTTTGCGTTCGTTATGAAGAAGCTCAACTTTAGCCGTATGAAGAGTGATCCGATCTTGTACATCCGCACCCAGAAAAGACTTTATGTCTTGACATATTAATATGTGGATGGCCTCATGTTTTTCGGCAGCCGTCCAGACATTGACATTGACGTTCTTGCCAATGACATGAGGAAAGAACTTTTGTTGAAGATCACAGGTCACCTTGGTGAAGGTCAAGGGGTTCACTTTCTTGGCCGTGACGGGGCGAACTCCTGAAGCAAGTGAACTTTCAATGGCCCGACCCACGTTGAGACGGTCCTTGAAACTTTGGAAATGCAGAACTGTCGCTCAGTCACGACCCCAGGTGTAGACACTTTGAAGAAAGTGACTGACTCAGAGCAAGTCTTTACAGAAGAGTTGTTGGTCAGCTACTCTGGCTGTCAAATTTGAGATGTCACACCATGTATGCAGTCAAAGAACTTTTTAAAAGGACAATAATATAACTGGACCAGCAGGCGACCACTTTTTCCAAACTGAAACACCTTGCCTTTTATCTCCCAGAAACCAAAACCTTTCTTCAGCAACTTCGCCCACATGTGAAACTTCCGCCCCAGCACAAGGGTATCAACATAAACTGTTATGTGGGCAGCGACTGGGCTGGAGACCCAGACTCACGTAAGAGTACGTCCGGCGTGTCACTTTTCGTGTTGGGCGCAAACATCACAGCACGCAGCTGAACATTGGCACTTTCTAGCGGGGAGGCTGAACTTTATGCTATTGGTGGTGGCGTAGCTGACTCTCTGTTCGTTCGTAGCCTGGTCACTGAATCTAGACTTTTCCGGAAATCCAACATTTGTGTTTTTACGGATTCAACTGCTGGAAAATAAATGGCGGGACGTTTCGGAACCTCAAGAAAAACAAAACATGTTGAACTTAGGTACTTGTATGTTCAAGAACTTGTTCAAGCCGGTTTGATTCGGACACGTAAGGTTTTAGGAACTTTGAACGCCGCTGATATTCTCACCAAATATGTTGGCAAAGATACTTTGTATAGACACTTGGGTACTTTCGGACTTATCCACAAGTAGTAGATGCTGAACGTCACTTTGATTTAAAAGATCTGGTGCGCCCGCATAAGGAACTTTAAAACTCCAAGTTTTTGGTTGCATGCAGAAGCCTTTGTGTTTCAAATTCACACATCCCATTGAAAGTTGAAAGCCGATCTTCGAAGTCGAACTTTCTCACTATTCAGGGATGACTTTGTGTGAATGCTGCTGCCAGTTTTCATGGTCAACTTCGTGACCTTTGTTGTACCTCGTTTTCACTGCATGGATCCACTTTGATGGATTTGGAACTACGCACCGGATCCACTTTTGATATGGTAGTAATGTGGTGAACTTTCTCCACTTTATTCTTCATGCCGCACAGTGCTCACTTTTGTGAGACATGGGCTCAAGACTTTTCAGGGCTCTCAGAGGAGAACACACATTGCCAGACGCTGAATTTGAACTTTTTATCAAACCACTGCAGACACTTGCCGGTCATGTTGCGTATGACTTTTCAGACTACCGACGTTGGTGCAGTCCACAACTTTTTCTTTTTCAGGTAGAGTTGGATCACCAACTGGAGCAATGGTGGAGGAAAGGTGAGACTTTCTCCACTTTGTTGCTTGGATTTCAATCAAGAATAGTCCGATGCTGTTGCCATTTCCAGTTCCTCGGTCATACTTTGACCACATGTACCATAGACTTCGGAATGGTCAGGTGTGGGAACTGTCACCCACGCAAGTCAACTTTACGAATAGTGAGCTCAATTTTCACTTTTCACCAAGATCTGCAGTACTTCTCTACGCGTTCAATTTAGTATCTCTGAGGCGCAAGGACAACCTGTGAACTTTTCCCAGATGCAGGCACCAGTGACTTTTGGATTCAGGTCCCAACCAACTTTTATGAGTCACAAGGCCATATTTGGAACAGGTGGTACTTTGACTACTTTTTTTTGTTCACTTTGGATCAATGCCCATTCGCTTTGAAAGCTCAACACTTTTGGGTGAAGCTACTTTGCAAGGCTTGTACTTTTCGATCATGCAAGGTCTCACGTTTTGAAAGTTTTGGAATACTTTTGTAGACTCCGAGACCATCAGCACTTTTGCATGCTGATGCATATGCCCAGTACCAGAGCGACTTTGGAACTGGTACAGTCTTCATCTACAGACTTTTGCGCGCCAGCTGCGCTGCTTTTGAAGGCACCAAGGGCGAATTTAGACTTTTCATGTCAAGTTGGCTGACATCTTTGAGATCACTTTGAACCAATCTCTAAGACTGGCACCAAATCAAAACCAACTTTTGGGTCCTCAACTTTTCTGTAGTGTGCGCATGAAGGTTTGTAACTTTCACACCTGTGTGTCTCAATGGACCTGCGTCCCACCTTGAAGGACGACATGGCGGTGTGTTCCAACTTTGAGTTTGATCATGTCTAACTCAACGTGAACTACAGTACTTTCGTACTTTGTTCAAGGGAGCGTGTGAAAAATGCACTTTTCTCCCACGTCACTTTACCATGCCAAGCACTTCAATGTACTTTGGCTCAAGCTGCATGGCTCAAGCACGATACTTTGGTATCAGCACAGATGAGACAAGACTTTGAGCCTGTGGGACTTGAGTGACCTATTTTAGGGTAGCTAGTCACCTTGTTTGCTCAGTAGTGTCAGAGCCTGCTACTTTCGCACAAACTTTACCACTGTTTACAGGTGATGGACAAACTGTCCTAGGCTCTGAGTTGCCTAGCATGCGTAGCTGGCCTCCAACTACAATTATTTTAACAGTAACAAAAAATAACAAAAATACATATGTAATCATGTCATCGAGTCATCCACACTCAATGACTAACATGACTCAAAGATGTTGCAGTCCAACGTGACTTTCAAAGCAGCTTTGTTGTCCCAACCATGTAGCATCTAGTTTTGCTTCGATTCCCAGTCCTCCAACCAAGCGAACCATTTCAAATTCGTTCCACCTCAGTTCTACAGTGAGTGCATCTTTCCATACAAAAATTGCATTTCGACGGCAGAGCATCCAAAACTGTTTCGAGAATTATCGACATCCGACTCATCCACAAGACTCCTCCAACCAGAACTATCTGAAACATGTTGCTAGAATCCAACTAAACCTGAATGCAGCATACTGCCAAGCATCCCTTGGTTAATCCGCTTTTCCCCAACACATGGTTTGCATTGCCGCCAAACGCCAATGGTGCAGAAGCAGCTCGGGGCAAGATCCATGTGACGGGTCTCAGCAAATAATCACCTGCATCATCAAACTAAGTCCATTAAGATACATCAAGTATATTCGTATATGTGGCGATGCAGGAGATACCCGTCAGATTCTTTAGAGTTTGTGTATAATAATTGCGCACATTTATGTCAAATCGAAAATTTCAATAAATGTTTTCTGATTTTCTCGTCCGCACAAGAATGACAACACATCTAACATCAAGAGACAATGTGTGTTTGAAATGAACATCCATGCCAAGCTGCCTATCCTCTGCCAGGCATGCGGGAGTTCGCGATCAAAATCGACGAGTGCCGATTTTGCCAAAACGTTCTGCGTTTGGAACGCATCGCTGCGGGAAGATGGCCCTGACAGGGCACGAAACTGTTTCAAATTGATTTGAATATTGAGTGTATCTGAATGTTAAAAAAACTGGAAATTCCCAGTACATACAATTCATTGCGGTCAAACAGCATTTGCGTGAACAAAAGATTTGAACGTAATTTTTTCAAAACATGCTGCTACATCCAGTTTGTGCTATTTGTTGCATTTCCAGCCTTCATCTTGAAGTGTCAACCTTCCAACCGCCGTGCATCCTGGTCCCCAAAACCAAATCACCACGACTATCACACAAATCGCACGCGCAGCTCTCGCCAACTTTCGCTTCGCATTCCAAGCTGTTGGTGGCATGCTTTGGCCACAAGCGAACTTCGAAAAATGGTTCAACCATGAAAACACATCCACTAATCACTAATCCAAACAAAACATCTGCCACTGCGGTGTTAATCAAATGTTTTCCCGCGTTCTGCAAAACATTGTGTTCAACGTGTACATGCATTGTATGGCCATGTTTGGTGCAAAGCACCATCATCAATGAAATATTACCGCAATAATATGTCAAAATGATTCATACATATTCAAAACATGTTGTTCCCCGTATTGCCAATTGTCATTCACGGCCTTGAACAAATTGCAAGATTCGTTGGCGCAACATTGGAATTCCATGTTGGTCGTGTCCACAACAGTGTTTAATTTCCATGTTTTTTGTTGCAAAAAAACACACGGATTGGAATGGAATTCATTGCGTTTTTGAATTTACAACGCAAATGCAATTTGGTTTCAAAAATTGGTTTCAAACAAAAATGTTTGGGGCGGCTCTCATGTTTAATTTCATTTCATGAAATTACGTTGGGTTCCGTTTCATTGCATTACGTTACATTACATCGCGTTGCACTACATTACATTACAATATATACATGTCAAGTCGTAATTTGTCACATTTTGTGTTTGCACATCCTTTCATTTTTGAACCACATCATGTGATATGCAAGGTGTATACTTGCATAACTATACAATGTCATTATCATATCATGTCAAACCACGCCATATTACATCACATCATTCCAGGCCGAATCCAAGCCGAACCCCACAAAATCGTATCAAATCACATCAAATTACACCAGCATAGACCCCAAACAGCAACATCGCATGTTTCCACCAAGGTCATGTGCAAATCAAAATTCATGGAACTGTCTGGCACACTCCTGTCTTCTGAGAAAAAAAAAAAGAAGGGAGACAAACACCAGAACCCCAGCCCGAAGCAGGAGGAACCAGGAAATCCATTATGGAACAGAACCCTTTTCTTGAGAAAAGAAGAAAAGAGAAGAAGGGAGACAAGCACCGAAACCCCTGCCAGAACGAAGAGGGACAAGGAAATCCATGATGGAACAGAACCCTTTTCTTGAGAAAAGAAGAAGAGAGAAGGGAGACAAGCACTGGAACCCAGCCGGAACAAGGAAGAACCAGTAAATCATGAAGGGCCCACAAAATACATGTTTTCTTTGATTTTTTTTGGTGGATTTTTTTTTTTTTGGTTTAGGGTCCATTCATTTGGTGAGGAAGGGGGGGATTTTTTTTTTTGTTCCCCCCCCAGACTGAATAACATCAATCCCTTCTAAGTTCGCTTGAAAGCCTTGAGTGCTGGGGCTGTACTATATAGTCGGTTCAACATCTAAAACATAAACAAAAAAACTGATGATACCATACTATTACTCTGTCAGGAAGGCAATTGCAGTGGACAAGAACGGAGTACGAAAGGAAGAAACGGATTATGAAAAAAAAAAACGTACAGTTTTTTCAAGCTAGGGAAAAGGACGGCATATCGACAAAATCTTGCAAAATTTAAACAGTAAGCCAGTGGACAGTAGCGCGACGGCATGACGTAGCCTGAGAAACCGCGTGATGTAGCATGAGCAGCTGCCCAAACCAAACAAAACAAAAATGGTAAGAACATTGATTGAATTTGCAAGGCAACAGCACAATGGGAAATAACGACACACACCATGCTTTATGTGGAGATGGTGTGTTGTTCCATATTTTTGAGTAAATGATAGACTAAATCTTCATTGTTCGATTTGCTGCGTGACAGAAATCATGTAATATTTGTGTTTAGCAAGGAAATAGTTTCAGGTATGATAGTATACAATAATTTTGCTACAAGTATACAATATGTCTATATACCATATAAATAGCAGTCTTCAAGTAGATATTGATGTCTCACGAGTTCCTTGTGATATAGGCAACATGGATGTTGCATATGCCATAGCCATATGCTGTATCAGTACACCCAAGGCGCATATGTGTTTAGAATATCCCTGTAGCCGTATTAAGTGTATGTATATATATATATTGATGAACTTGCATTTTCCTTGGTAGTACTACTGTATGCATCTATGATATGAATGGTGCATGTAAGTAGTGCATGCCAATACATACACACATTTGCCACATGTACTTTGCGTATCCAATGGAATTCTTCTAGGATTGATTTCAATAAAGATTTTTTGGTTGCAACTAATTTTGATCACAAAAGTTGGCACATGCCAAGGGCAACTCCAACTTACCCGTTCTCCAAACATATAGGTCTTTCCTGCATATTTCAGAGTAATTTGCTATGCCACTGCAAATCTATGCAGATACCCTCTTACCATAACTGTGTAGCCGTGTTTTTCTAACAGGATGAGTAACACCCATAAACAATTAACAGTGTTTATAAAACTGGACAGAAAACAGCTACGACACAACACATTGCATTGGATTAGGAAGTAGCATCTCCGAGAATGCATTCATATGGAAAGGGGTCCCTTCTCCATCGTTTTGATCAATACTCTCTCCTGTTCTTAGTTCTTTGAGCTATATACTGCATGAAAAGTTTCAGGTATTGTTTGTGCCTTAGTGGGTGAGTGGTTTCAACCAATATGCAAGGGCATTGCCACACGTGTGCAGTAGATATACAGTAGAAATGGTAGCTTCAAACACGCACTGATATCTAGAGGGTTTCTTGTGACAAAAGCATTTTTTTTGCAGATACCATAGCCATTTGCTGCGTCAACACATCCAAGCTGCATATGCACTTAGAATGCAACTATTTTATATATACATTTTTTCTTATATACGAGCACGGGCTTAAGTCACATCAGGCGGGAAAAGTCACATCATCCCCATGGCACGGCGGCGATACAGAAAGTCACATCAAGTAGTGGAAAGTCACATCAGGGAAGAAGAATGACCATGGCACAGCCTGTTTAATCTATAATTGGAGATTTAGTTAAAAGTAGCCGAAGCATTGCGCACAGCGATGATTTTGAAGGGCACAAGTTAATACAAACAAATTCTCGGCAGCTAATCCTATTGGATTTGAATATATTATATTGATGTCCTGCATCGCGTGACGAAATCACACCCCTATTGCGCCGTCTTGCGCCGTCTTGCGCCGTCTTGCGCCGTCTTGCGCCGTCTTGCGCCGTCTTGCCGTCCGCGCCGTCTTGCGAGATGGTGGAAGATGGTGCAAATGGTGAGCGCAGCGAAACAACCGCTATACGACCGTTTTTTTTTTCCTCCTCCGGTTTGGCCGATTCGCACTAGGCACGGTCCTTACAATTGCGTAAGCAGTGAAAAGCAGTAGTGTACAGGACTCGTGTGGTCCAAAATCTCCGGCAAATCATCACGAGAAACAAACCAAACAACAAGAACCACAACCAAAAACGACCCGCAAATCCCCCAGCCAGATTTGCGTTTCGCCACAAAGCAAGACAGCGAAGCAACAAAGAAAGGGGCAGGGCCCAACAAGAACCAAAACAAAAAACTCTCAGATTTGCCTTGGATACAGCGACCTTAGCCACTGTATCATCCTCAAAAACATGCAAACTAATTAATTGCGGCGGTGCATGAAGTGTTGTACCTGATTGCCCAGACCGTCTTACCTGAGAACAGCAGAGAGAGTCCAATATTGTAGGCAGACTGATGTGTGGTTCGACAGAGGCCGCCTGTATGGACGATTTGTCAATAAATCAACTTCCGCATCGCTGCTGTTCACCCTGTATTGTTCAGCGTATTCCAGGCAGTCTGTTCCTGTCAGTATACACCACCGCAAGAGACTGTATTCATTTCCCCCCCCAAGACAGGGAGGAAAGCACTGACAGCCTGCAACATGGTGTGAGCACTTGCAGAAACCGTCACGTGACTTGTGCCCAAGACCCTAAGGCCGTGGGTGAAAAGGTGGCTAAAGGCCTGACCGGCTCAGTACGGCCATGACAGACAAATGATGTTTCGATCATAACATGGGCTCGTGAGCACTTCCAGTATGATACTGCAGGTAGGTATACAAAAGTCGCATTCGCATTGCTGTAAGACTTGTGCACTAAAACGATCAAAGATGAGGTGGTTCGGTGCGCCAGCACCCGATACTCAGACAGGAGTCACTAGGCGTCATCGTCCCAGCAAGTTCTGCGGAGAGGACCGGATGCACAGAGAGGCAACTGTATATTCCAGACAAGGCCACTCTCCCACCGAGTGGGCCATAGGCCAGAGCAATACAGAAAATCCGCACAACGAACCATGTGGGCAGGCTTTGCTGCACTCGGGCGCTCCAGACTGAACTGCAGGAAGCACAACTGGACAGCGCCAGCAGAGCTCACTGCAGTGCAGCCTAGTCCATGGCTCTACCGGGAATCTACCGCCCCTTGAAAAACACAAGGAACAAAAAACAGAGAGAGAAGGGCCCATCCCAATACAGCCACAGAGGAAGCCACCTGACAAATAAAACACAAACAAACCAACAAACAAACGAATTCAAAAGGGGATCAAATTAACAAAAAAGGGGAGGGGAAGGTGAGCAAAGGCTGTCCCACCTCGGATACATCCTTAGTCACTACCGGATGAGATCAATGTAGCCATGGTGAAAAGATGGGTGACTGTGCAGAGCTGTAACCTCGGTATCCAGGCAACAGAGGAAGCAAAAACAACACACGCCCAAACAACACGAAACCTGCCATCAAGGGGGAAGCAAAGAGGGGGGAGCGGCCAAATTCAAC